GATTTTAAAAATTATTTTCAAAGTAGAAAAATTTTGGGAAAAATTATTTTAAGTTCCCAGACCCCAGTTTACTTCTCCGAGTCATATTTTTCAAAAATGGGAGAGTTCCAAGTCCACGAAAAATTCGATTAAAACCCGTAAATCTTAATATTTATTAAGTAGGGTTTTATGTTAAACTCTAGTAGTGAGATAAATTATTGATAAACTATCTCGCTTAAATGTAGGTGTTTGAGGAGTCGAGCCTCATCCTACGTACTTGCTTTTGTGTGCCATTTTCTACCGAAATTTTCAAGTGGGTTGTAATTGTAAAATTTACTATGCCTTAAATGTTATTACCGTTTTAATTGTGGTATGATCAAAGTATGCATGGGAATCATGTAGCCTTCGGTGTGAGCTGTATCGGCCACCGGACGGTTGTCCCTGTAGCTATAGAACGTACCTTCGGGTAGTCTCCCTTGAGAAGCCGTAAGACCAGGGCTTAGGTCCCTCGGCCGGTGATCCTCATTGGTAAGTCCAAGGCAAGACCTCGGCCGGTGGGGTGGTTTACTCCTACTGGCTGGCACTCGATGTAGGACCGGAGGGCATTCGATATATAGTCAGCAGTAGTCTATGGGATAGATTATTGCTTCGTATACATGCTGAGACCATACCTTTTGATTATTGATTACTGTTGATTATTGACATTAACATTTATGGCATAGCGGTGAGCACTACTGTTTCTTTTGTGCTCATCCCCACCTGCTCTTCATGGATGCAGGTTAGATAGAGCGGCACGACGGAGAGGATGTGAGTGGTGGTCTTTAATTTGAATAAATGCTTCCGCTTTGAATGGAACTTGGATATTATTGCATTATTATTGACTATTGATTTTCTAGTATTGGATTATTGATAGGGATTATTTCCCTAGGATCATTATTGGATTATTGATTGATTATTGGAATTTCCTTATTGATTATGAGTATCGATAATTGCCGAATATTGAGAAAATGTCGAGTATTGATTATTGATTTGAAAATGAGTAGCGCCTCCAATATTATTTTTGAAATAAATTTGAAAAATTTATTCTGATTTTCGGTAAATAAAAGTGGGGCGTTACACCTAATTTTACTCCAATTAATAATATAATGTAGGAAATATATTTCCCACTAATCTTCATCTTCTAGAAGACTCCCAAGTCTCCTAATCCCAAGAGAAAATTCTAGTAGGAATTGTATTCTCCTAATTAAATAATTAATATGGAATAAAATTAATTCCTATTTAATGGAATTAAATAATAAAACATCCCACTAGAGTAATATTATTGCTCTCTCCATTTAGCCACTATTTTACCAATAAAATCGAGCCTCCATGATTAAATAATATTAATCTGATTGATCGATTTACCTCCCAATGTTAAGATATAACGTCCGTTGATTAATTAAATTACTGACAAAGTAATTAATCAACTT